GCCACTATATTCCAGCCTACAAACATGGTATTGTATAAAGTAAATGTTCCAGGAAACAGATTGGTTCTATTAAATCCAATCCCTCTGGTTTCCAAGATATCACCGAGTTAACCATTAGCGCTTTTTCTCTTTAAAAAGAAGTTTTTAGCTGGGTACGAGTGGCTGACACCTGTAATCCTAGCTACTAAGGCTGCTGAGATTTGAGGATAGCGGTTCAAAGCCAGACTGGGCAGGAAAGTCGGTGAGACTCTTACCTCTAATTAATCACAAAAAGCTTGAAATGCAACTGTGGCTCAGCACTAGCCTTGAGCACAAAAACTCAGAGACAGCACCCAGGAACAGCCTGAATTCAAGCCCCAAGATCTAAAAAAAAGGTTTCAGTATAACTTGCAAGTTTTAAAACAAATCTTAATAGCATTGTGTCTAGACCATCACCTTTGATATTTTCCCATCGTTTCTATTGCCTAAAATACACAGATATATTTAGCTTTGGAGATCTGGTGACTTAGGAGGCAATGGGTCTCCAGCAAGAGATTATTAGCTCCTCTCTTCCATGTCTTTTCTACCACTTTACTAAGGAGAGGCATTTGAGTCTGGGAGACAACCAGCATTTTGCCCACAGAAACTTTGAACGGGCTCCTCTAAGAATAACTCAGGTTTAAATTTGGAAACTACAACACTCAGCCTGGAAGGCTGCCCTGTGATTGGCACACAGCCTTGGTTCTGGGTGTGGGTGGTCCTTGACCCAGCAGCAACAACAGCAGCAGCTCAACATTAACATCTGGGAATCTGTTAGTGATGCTCATTCTCCATCCTATCTGACTCACTGCAGTTACCTGAGTATTCTGGCCTGTGTTTTAAGCTTTTGTGTGTTGCTTCTTCTCCTCAGAAGCTAATTGCCCTTCTCACCTCATGGTAGAACTGTAGCTTTGTGGGGGTCTCTCCAGACCTGGAGCATTAGTGTGGTATGGGAACTTGATAAAAATGCAGATTCTCAGCTTCACCTCTGGCCTCTGACCTATTGTATCAGAAACTCAAATGAGGCTCAGCCAGCTGGGAGAATCAATGACATTCAATCATTTTCTGCTGATTATTTGTGTGTGTGTGAGTTGTGGGACTTTATCTCAGGGCCTGGGCGCTGTCCCTGAGCCTTTGTGCTCAAGGCTAGCACTCTACCACTTTGAGCCACAGCTCCACTTCTGGTTTTCTGAGGTTAATTGGAGATAAGAGTCTCACAGTCTTTCCTGCTTGGGCTGGTTCCTGTGCAGCTAGAATTACAGGCATGAGCCACCAGTGACTGGCCATTCTCTGCTTTTGTACTTGTTCTGTGACTTGGATTTGTTCTGGAATGCCAAACAGCTACAATTGCTCGTTTTGAAATTCCTATGAGTAGTTTACCAACTTTACTTTTTTCCTTTTGCTTTAGTAGGGTTTTGAACTCAAGGCCTTGTGCTGGCTAGGCAAGTGTTCCACAACTGGAGCAACCTTTCTCTCTCTCCCCTTCTTTCTCTCCCTCTCTGTCTCTCTGTCTCTGTCTGTCTGTGTGTCTCTCTCTCTCTGGCTTTCATTGTTTTTCAGATAGGGACTTGAGGTTTTGCCTAGGCCACCCTGGACTGCAATCCTCCCAACTGCGGGAGACAGGGTAGCTGGAATGACAGGTGTGTACTACTTTGCCTGGCCTACTTTCTTGAAATTTTCATGCTTAATTTTGAAGCCACCAGCCTCTACTCCTGGTGGGAAAAAAATCTAGAAAGACAGAAAGTATTCCCCTTTTCCATGTAGCTGCAGAGAAGCCGACTTTATTTCTTTTTTTTTTTTCTGGGTCCGGTTGTGGAGCCTGAACTCTGGGCCTTGCGCTGTCCCTCAGCTCTTCAGCTCAAGGCTAGCGCTCTACCACTTGAGCCACAGCGCCACTTCTGGCTTTTTTTTTTTTTTTTTTGCTTATGTGGTGCTGAGGAATCGAACTCAGGACCTCATGAATGCAAGGCAAGCGCTCTACCACTGAGCCACCTTCCCAGCCCGAGAAGCCGACTTTAGTGTATGGCAGACAGCCAATACTGTGTCATAAAATTCCAATTGGGAACACTCAAGTATCTGTCCCTCTCTCGGTCAGGGCAGAGGCTTCAATGAAAGGCTATGGTCCCATTCCATTTGCTGTTGCTTTAAAATTGTCCTTGGCCATGTTACTCGTAAAGCAATGTATCTCTTAGGATACTTGCATATCGAGAGTTTGTTGCTGTGCCTTGTAAAATGGAACCTATAACACCCAAAGGTCTGCAACTCTGATTGGTCATCGTATTTAATAGTGGATGGGCCGGGCACTGTTGGCTCACACCTGTAATCCTAGCTACTCATGAGGCTGAGACCTGAGAATTGAGGTTCAAAGCCAGCCTAGGCAGGAAAATCCATGAGAGTCTTATCTCCAATTAACTACCAGAAAACCAGAAGTGGCGCTATGGCTCAAGTAGTAGAGCACTAGCCTTGAGCTGAAGAGCTCAGGGAAAGTGCTAAGACCCAGAGTTCAAGCCCCATGACTGACAAAAAAAATAGTGGGTGGCTCTGCTAATAATATTTACATTTTTTGGTTCTAGTTTCTGGCTTCCTTAAATGGAAAAAGAACTTTTAGATTTCTTTTGTTTCCTTTTAGGCACTAAGATGTTACAATCCTGTAGAACTGGATTCTATAATCAATCAGTAAAGTCTGTCTTGTTTAAATGGCCAATGAACCACTATGTTGGCCCAACATAGTGGTTCACACCTTGTAACCTCAGCTACTTGGGAGGTGGGGAGTAGGAGGATCATAGTTCTATAGTTTGCTAGACCCTATCTCAACTAACAAGGCAGGAGTGGTAGTGTATGCCTGTTATCCTGGCTGTGTGGAAGAGCACAGTTAGGAAGATTACAGTCCAAGCCTACCAGAAAGATTGAAAGAAAGGAAGGAAGGAAGGAAAGAAGGAAGGAAGGAAGGAAGGAAGGAAGGAAGGAAGGAAGGAAGGAAGGAAGGAAGGAAGGAAGAAAATATCCAAAAAATAACTAAAATTAAAAGGACTGGGGGTGAGGTTCAAGTGGTATCTAGGCAAGTTTAAGGCCCTGAGTTCAAAATCTAGATACCACAAAAAGCTCCACTCTCCAAACACTACCAAATAATAATAATTTTATAGTAACTCCAGTTTCTCAGAGTATGAAGAGCATACTACAAATAATACTTGTTAACACCACCACACCCTATTCTCCTCTCATATCCAATGGAAATTTCCCTATTTCTACATGGAGGCTGCTTAGAGTCCATTAACAATCCTGCTTGGGAGGGGCAGGGCATTCAGGATTTAGTTTAAGGCTATATTTTCGAGTGTGTGTGTGTGTGTGTGTGTGTGTGTGTGTGTGTGTGTGTGTGTGTGTGTGTGTGTGTGTGTGTGTGTGTGTGTATGTGCAGGCATACATACATGTGCTGATCCTAGGGCATGGCTGCTATCCCTAAGCTTTTGTGCTCAAAGTAGTGCTCTACCACTTGAGTCACAGTTCCACTTCTGGCTTTCTTTCTTTCTGTCTGTCTGTCTTTTTTTTTTTTTTTGGTCGGTCGTGGGGCTTGAACTCTGGGCCTGGGCCCTGTCCCTCAGGTCTTCAGCTCAAGGCGAGCACTCTACCGCTTTGAGCCACAGGGCCACTTCCGGTTTTCTGATGGTTTATTGGAGATAAGAGTCTCACAGACTTTCCTGCCAGGGCTGGCTTTGAACCTCGATCCTCAGATCTCAGCCTCCTGAGTAGCTAGGATTACAGACGTGAGCCACCAGTGCCCGACTCTTTCTTTCTTTCTTTCTTTCTTCCTTCCTTTCTTTCTTTCTTTCTGGTCTGAGACCAGGACTCGAATTTGGTACTCGATGGCTTTTGGTTGGCACTCTACCAACTGAGCCATGCCTCCAACCTCCCACTTGTGGCATATTGCTGGTTAATTGAAAGTAAGAGTCTCATGGAAGAGTCTCATGCCCAGTCTTGGCTTTGAAACTCAGATCTCAGCCTCCTGAGTTGCTAGTATTAAAACTGAGTTGCTAAGCATAGACCACCATCCCCTGGGTATGGCTGTATCTTCATAAGCCTTTTCATAACTAGGAGAGCATCACTCTTCCCTATCAGAGAAAGCCATGGGGGCAGAGGTGGTGGGGGAAGGCTACAGCTTCTCTAACTGCCTCCCATCCTCAACACTGATGGCCTCCGGTCTTACAATAAACTCTCAAGTGTTCACTGAACTCACCCAAGACAGTCCTATGAAAAGCTGGCCCTCCTGCCTGAGGCCTTCTGTCCCTTCCTGCTGGGAATCTGGGTCTGAAATCAACAAGGATGGGGAAACAAGTGTGTAGCGCCATGTGTGCACATGTTCCTGTGCACCTGGGACCACCTCCCCATCGTGATTGTCCCTGGGGTTTGCTAAAGCTGCAAGCAAGCATCAGGTGGCTCCTGCACCCTAAAGAAAGGCTGGCCCTACTGTGAATGGGACTATTGTCTCCACTAATGGGAGAGAGAGGAGCTGACTTCGCAGGCTGCTTCCTCCTGGGGTGAGTGGCAAGGGGAGAAGTGGAGTTTTTGTTGGGGGGGGGGGCTCCCCGGTTACCTCTCAAGCCTGAAGGAAGAAGTTCCAGGAGGGCTGATGAAGGCAAGGTGCAGAGCGCTGCAGGTCCACCCTGGATGAAGCCTTGGAAACTGTTTCTTGGCATTCTGGGTCTCTTCTTGTGAGTTGACAGAAACATTCACTGGAAAGTAGAGGAAAAGGTCCCAATATTTTCTCCCCTTTGTCCTGGTTTCAGAGAAATCTCAGGCGCAGCTGAGGAAACGTCTGAGGTCATGTTGTGTGTGAAGCCGGAGGCTGGTGCCCGTTGTGGGCTGGAGATCTGGGAACATGAGGGATTTGAAACACACCTGGTGTGGGCTGAGAGGTTGGGAAGGAAAGCTGACCACCTTTCCCACCTTGAGCTCAGACCCCCCCCCCCCCCCACTCCCTGCAGCCTTCAGAACGGCCAAAGGGACCTCAGCTGCAGGTCACTGAAGCTCTTTATGGAGGAGAGCAGAGCTCCTTCAGGGAAGGCCACAGAAAAAGGAAAAACACAGCTGAAACAGAACACAGGCGGAAAAGAAAAACAGAGTACCTGCCCCCCCCCATCCCCTGCCTGGAGACAATACCACTTAGAAGATCCCAACAGATCTGGGAAAGGCCTGCTTTCACAGCAAGTTCTGTTTCTTTTTGCCCTTTTCTAGCCTCTTCCCGCCCCTAGACCAGAGACTAGGACATTGAAATTGTAGTCTAGATTTTTTTTTTGCCAACCCAAATATCTACCCAGTGTGGACCAATGGTGCAATGGCCACGGTATCCATCTACCATTGAGGTGCAACCATCAATACATCCATTACATAAGGCCAGTTACAGGGCTGCACCCAAAAGCAAACAGAAATGAATAGTTTCTGCTATTTATTTTTGTGTATATTAATACTTGGGAGGGGAGGAGGGAGACATTTGTTCTCAGTTTCCCTTGACAAAAAGATCTGAATTAGTCTACAATGAACAACAAAAAGAGCTGGTAAAATTCAAATTAAGAATCAGGAATAAGGTTCTGGGGCCAATGACAATCGCCTGTAATCCTAGCTACTCAGGAGGCTGAGATCTGAGGATCATGGTTCACATCCAGCCCATGCAAAGAAATCCGTAAGGCTCTTTTTCCAATTAGCCAGCAAAAAAAAAGCCAGAACTGGAGGTGTGGTTCAAGTAGTGGAATGACAGCTATGGGGAGAAAAAGCCAAGGGACAGAACACAAGGCCCTGAGTTCAAGCCTAGGAATCTGCACAAATAGAGGAAGTAGGAAGGGAGGAGGGGGGAGGGGGAGGAATAAAGGAAAGAAGGAAGGAAAAGAGAGGGAAGGGAAGGGAAGGGATGGTGAATACCCACAAATCCAAATCTCAGTGATTTCTCCTTCAAATTCGTTTTTGAGCTTTCTTGCAACTAAGAACTTGGACTAGGAGGAAGACATAGTACCTTCTCAGAGGACATACAGCTTTTCCTTGCTTCATATTTCAAGAGCAGTGTTTCAGAGGATTTTTTTTGCATTGGTTTCTCTAATTTTATTTTTTGTTAGTCGTGGGGTGTGAACTCAGAGCCTACGAGTTATCTCTGAGCTCTTTGCTCAAGGCTTTGAGCCACAACACCACTGCCCATTTCTGAGTAGTTAATTGGAGATAAGAGTCTCTCCAGGGACTGGGAATGTGGTTTGGTGGTAGAGTGCTTGTCTAGAATGCATGAAGCTCTGGGCTTGAAGTGGTACTGTGGCCCAAGTGGTAGAGTGCTAGCTTTGAGCAAAAGAAGCTCAGAGACAGTGTCCAGGCCCTGAGTCCAAGCCCCAGGACTGGCAAAAAAAGAAAGGAAAAAAAAAAAAAGAGTCTCACGGGGACTTTTCTATTCAATCCTCAGACCTCAGCCTCCTGAATAGCTAGGATTACAGGCACAAGCCATCAGTGTTCGGCTTTTGCATTGGTTTCTAAACTACTGAAACTAATTTTTAACAGTGGGTTTCCATCAGCTTTGGCACTAGTGATATACTAATTGGGGCAGGGAGTTCTTCAGCAATTACTATCCATAATACTTCAAACTCTTTGAGATGAGCTTTCCCTAATATATTATTAACCACCCAAAGGACATATAAACTCGACACTCTCAATTGTTTTTATTTTCAGTACTAGCACTGGAGGGTTTGAACATAGGCCTTGTGCTTGTCAGGCAAGCACTGTACCAATTGAGCCACACTTCTATCCTTTTTGTTTAGTTATTTTTCAGATAAGGTTTTGTGTTTCTGTCTAGGCCAGCCTTGGATCTCAATCCCTCTACTTATACTTCCTGCATAGCTGGGATCACAAAGAGTACCACCACACTTGGCTTGTTTGTTGAGACAGGGTTTTTTTTTCCATCCCTCAGGCTGACTTTGAATCTTTATCTGTGTCCTGAGTATCTGGGATTACAGGCATGTAATGCCCAACCCCAAGAAAATAGTTTGGTCACCCACACAGGAACTTTATTTAGACTGAGGATAGATATAAACAAAAATATAGGTGTGCTTTGGATGAAAAGGCTAAACTCAAAAGACCGATGAAGGTCATACTGCTGTCTCTTCAAAGGTCGCGGGCACGTTTCTTGGGCTTTTAGCTCATGAGGATAATAGCCTTTATAAAACAGCTTTGGGGAGATTTCCCACCCCAACAGCCCAGGCAGTTCAACTAATCTGCATATGCTAAAATGGGTTCCAGGGAAGATGCCAAAATAAGCTCCTGTCCTCCCTCACCTTTACTTTAATCCCCACATAGGTTTTGCTTTTACCATATGGTAATTATTTCCAAATCACAAGTGCAAACACTCACTCTGATTGGAAAATTAGCAGATTTCAAACTCAGGTAATTTGTCCCTAATGAGGAACTTGTTGAACTGAATTTAACAATTAACTCGCACACCCTTTGCTGCCTGAGGCTACAGCAGGGAAGCTGAGAGATGACGGAAGGAAGGGCAAGTCAAAGGGCTGAGATCTGGCAGGACTTCCTGTGCAAGATAAAAGCTAGGATGGGAAAACCCATGGTCCTGGGGCGGGAAGAACGTCAGGAGCAGAGGTACGATGTGTGTGATTGTAGTACTGCCACTCTCCGTTATATGCAAAAGTACAGAGACTAATGTAATAAGCTTCCATATAGCCATTCCCCAGTTTCCACCATTCTCATCTGTGGCCAGTCTAGTTTCACCTGTGCCAGAACTAGAGCGTGGAACTGGAGAAATCAGGAGATGGACAGGAAGGAGGAGGATGGCGTGCCTCTACTCTCTCCCATTCCCATAGAGTGCAAGCACCATGGGAAGCTGACATGGGTGAGTTCGATCTAGCTTACCTACCCAAACGTTCAGGTCCTCTTCTCCGTCATTTTGCTGACATGTGTACCCTTCTTTTTCATGCTTCTTGCTCCATGACTGAGGCCTCTAGATTTCTACCTGCAGATCCAAGGTGAGGTAGCTACAGGCTAATAGGATTGAGGTCAGCCCCTGGATTCAGGATTGTCAATCTCATTTTGCTTGTGTACTTCAGTGATCAATTGCCAGAAACAAAGACCTGGTACCCAGCTCATGCCTGAGGCTGTCTCTGTCATCCACTCACCTCCTCTATCCTGCTAAAATAACTACAGAGGCTGAGAATGTGGCTTAGTGGTAGAGTGTTTGCCTAGCATGCATGAGGCCCTGGGTTTGATTTTTTTCAGTATGACATACACAGAAAAACAAACAATTAAACAATTGCAATGTCCGCAAGCTAGGCTCTAGCCACACCTGGCTATGACACACTCAAAATGCAGCTAGTGAGGATGAAGACCTGATTTTAGAATTTTACTTAATTGATTTAAATTTAAAAGCAGATACTTGGTTCGAGTATTAGAAACCAGATTGAATACGCTTGGAAGATAAATCTCCATTTTCAACTGTGAATGTTCTAGAAATCTAAATTCAAATCAAGTAATGTTGATTTTAAAAAGTCAGCATCCACATTGAGATTAGATCTGGCATTCAAAAACTGGCACTGAAGGGCTGGGAAGGTGGCTCAGTGGTAGAGTGCTTGCCTTGCATGCTCGAGGCCCTGGGTTCGATTCCTCAGCACCACATAAGCAGAAAGAAAAAAGCCGGAAGTGGCGCTGTGGCTCAAGTGGTAGAGCGCTAGCCTTGAGCTGAAGAGCTGAGGGACAGAGCCTAGGCCCAGAGTTCAGGCCCCATGACCGGACCAAAAAAAAAAAAAAACTGGCACTGATAGCTCACACTTATAAACTGCTCATACCTCTAATCCTAGCTACTCAGGAGACTGAGATCTGAGGAGCCAGTTCTTAGCCAGGCAAAAAAAAGTCCATGAGACTCTTATTTCCAATTAACTATCAAAAAGCTGGAAGTAGACCTGTGGCTCAAGTGACAGAGTGCTAGCCTTGAGTGAAAAATCTAAGATACAGCACATAGGTCCTGAGTTCAAGCCCTACCCCCCCCCCCCCCCCCGCCACACAAATTTTAAATATTGAGAGACTATTGAGTAAATATAAGAAGTACAATTTGTTAAGGTAACATTTTCACTTTTTAAAATATATCTATGAGGAAAACATTTAAATTACCTCTAAGCCTCTATTTTGTTTTTTTTTTTTTTTTTGGTCAGTCGTGGGGCTTGAACTCGGGGCCTGGGCACTGTCTCTGAGCTCTTTTGCTCAAGACTAGTGCTCTACCACTTTGAACCACATTGCCACTTGCGCTTTTCTGGTGGTTAATAGGAGATAAGGTCCTCAAGGTCTTTCTTGCCCAAGCTGGCTTTGAACCATAATGCTCAGATCTCAGCCTCCTGAGTAGCCAGGATTACAGATGTGAGCCACCAGCACCCATCTCTAGTTGTGTGTATATGTGTGTGTGTGGGGGGGGGGTTGGTTGCTATGTTTTTGAGGCAAGGCTTCCCTCAGATGGTCCTCAAATTTACCATGCTCCTGCCTCAGCCTTAGAAGTGAATACTGGGATTTCTGGCCAGCACCAGGATGCCTGCATTCTAAATAGATTTTTGCCCTGGCATAAAGGTATCCCTTGCAGACACATATTTCTTTAATGAATAGAATTGTCTTCTCAAACTCTCACCGTGTGCTAAAGGCCCATTTCAGCCAGGCATGATCTGCTCAACTAAACCAACCTAGATTTTCCTGTATGCTCCTCTGTGGGAACATTTTCTCTGTAACCTAGAAGCCACCAGCTTTCACATAAGCAACTAATAATTATTGTTTTCTGGTAAAGTCCTGAACACATGGCCTAACAAAATTAATTGACCAAATGAATACAGACTTGATTTGGGTTATCCAGGAGCATCCATATTCTCGTGACACTACAATAAATGAGCAGTTTATTCACAAAATGCTTCAAAATAGTACCAAATGGGACTCATTAGAAGGTAATAAGCAAAGACAAGCTTTCCCCCTCATGCTACCTAAGGCCTCAACCAGGCTGAGCTATATAGGGACTCCTCCTCACATAGGTTTGAAAAGAAACACACATTCTGGGAATTTAATCAGGGAACCTGTGGCAATGACCTCAAATGACCAATCTAGATGAGGACCACTGGAAGAGAAGGAACAAAGTGCAGCCAATGTTAAACAGAAACAGAACAGAATTTATTTCCCTCCCCAGCGATGGAGGGCCAATAGCACTCACACAGCTTCTGCTGTAGCTCCCAGCAGTACTTGAAAGGACCAGATAGAGAGGGAGGAAGGACACCAAGCTGGGGACCTTGTGCAGGTCTCTGCTTGGCTCCCAAGGTCAAGCATCCATTCTTCCTCAGTTGCTTTCTGCACTGGCTCAAAGCTCAGGCACCACTGGCAGTGCAGAGTGCTGCACTGGGCTCAGTGTCTCTCCCAAGGAAACTTGGACTAGCTGGTTTAAATTGGTGCAATCTTCCTTGAACAGCATCCGTAGGACAGTAGAACAACAATACCATAGAATGATAGTGCATAGCTCTGGTTACTGGTCCTTTACTAATTGTTTTCAAAACTGATGATGATGTTTCCTTTTTTCTGCTTTTAGGGCAGGAGGTTAGGACAAAAGACAGATAAATATACATGTATTCTTACAAAAGCTTTTTACATACACAGACTAGGCTTCCAAGTTGCAACAGAGAAGCTATAAGAGGCACTAAATGAACAGATAAGCAAAATTACGAATACATCAACAATCGAACAGTATTCAGGCGAAACGAATCAAGTGGTGATACATAATACAACATAAGGAAATCAATCTCGCCTGACCCATATTACGCCCTGAGTACACCTTTTACTGATGCATACTGCAACCTGTGTAAATCCTGAAAACAAGACAAGTGAAAAGAACACATTTTGTACAGTGCCATTAAAGGAAATTTTGAACACCTCCAATTTATGGAGATAAAAGGAAATTGGTGGGGGTGAGCGTCTGGGGTCAGTGAGCACTGAGTGCTTGATGGTACAATGAGAAAAGAAATACAATGACTTAGAAATCTAAGAAGGCTGTGGAGATATAAAGAGTAAACAAATGAAATAGATTTCAAGTGTTTACTTACCTTTTTGCAAGGAACCTACTGTCCTAAAATGCAAATATACAGCTGCTTAAAGTAACAATATGCTTAAAGAAGTAACAGATAACAATACATGTAAATATAAAATATAAATTAAATACAGAGAGAGAGATGAGAAGCGATCCCAGAAGTGCCCTTTGTAGGCCACTGGCAGTACCTGGAAGAGGAGAGGTGGGGTAAGAGGGAACACAGCATGTAGGGGGTCCCCTTTGAGGGACAGGGTCAGTCACATGAGTCCCCCACTCCACTCCACAGGTGTGCAGATCTCTGATGTATCCTTTATTGTACTTTCTGCTGGTTTAGTTTTTCAAAGTACATTTTCTTTTCCTTTCTTTCTTTCTTTCTTTCTTTCTATGCCAATCCTGGGGCACTGCCCCTGAGCTTCTTTTGCTCAAGGCTAGAGCTATACCACTTGAGCCACAGCGCCACTTCTGGCCTTTTCTCTTTATGTGGTACTGAGGAATGGAAGCCAGGGCTTCATGCATGTTAGGCAAGCACTCTACCACTAAGCCACATTCCCAGCCCCTGAAGTGCATTTTCAACAATTACATTATATATATTGTAAACAAACCTTTAAGACAGAATAAACACCATGTTCACCTAGAAGGCTTTCTTTTTACTTCAAATATATAATAATGACATATAATCTAGACGTCTCTACTTCCTTATATATCACACACTGGGAAACCATTTTTACAGTGTCAGCCTGAGACACAGGGAAACTTGGATGAACCTTGAGGGCATCATGCCAAGTTGAAATGGCCAATTTCCAAATGATAGACACAGAATGAGGCACTTGCATAAGCGTCAAGAATCTCCACTTCATGTGGACACAGAACTGGAGGAGGCAGCCAGGGGCTAAAAGGTATAAAATGAGGAGCTGGGTTTCCGTTCTAGGAGTTCTAAAATTCTTTTGAACAACAGTTTCCTTAAAAATAGTTCATATGATAAATGTGTAATATTTGCGTGACAGTTAAAAAATTAAAAACCAGTTCTCCTTGCTAAAAGTAGCATGCTAGTTTTATCGTTTAGGGCAACTCTAAATTGGAACACTTATAAATGAACGTAGTTTCAATGTGGAATCATGTTAGAACAATAAAAATAACCATGTCAACAATTAAAATTAACTCAAGGAAAGCAATGGCAGTTTGTAAATGCCCGTCCCTGTTTCTTTGTAAAACAAACACACAAAAAAATCATGGGCCTGGGCTACTGTGCAAAGTTTGAAGTTTCAAAGGTAAACTACAGAGCTGTTAAAAAGTACCAAAAAGCAAGTGAAAGGTTGGAATTTATTTAAGTCAAAGCTGATGTGCTTTGTGAGATGCCAAGTAAGGCAAGACTCAGGGCTTCTGCATCGTTGAGCTGGCTTTCTTTGCTCTCCCTTTCCTCTGCCTTGTGTGTCTGGAGCCATGAGGCTGAGCATTCTGGACGGTCAATGTGGCCTGGGGAAATGGAGCCTGCCTGACACTTTGCTGTGCACTCTGGGCTTGTACCTGCACCTGCTGTGGCTGGGCAGGAGGAGGGGGCTGGCAATTCTGCAGAATAATGTGCCCAGGTGTTGACTGCTCCAATAGAGTTGCGTGGGGCAGCAGGAAACTCCCCACGCCAGCAAGGGTAACAACTACTGCTTGCTGAGGTGACTGGGCCCACTGTTGACTGCTGGACCCCTGAACAGGAGTGGTCCATTGTTGGCCGCTAGACCCCTGAATAGGTGTAGCCCACTGTTGACCACTAGACCCCTGCACAGGGGTGGCCCACTGTTGACTGCTAGACACCTGAACAGGGGTGAGCCACTGTTGACTGCTAGACCCCTGCACGGGGGTGACCCACTGTTGACTGCTAGATACCTGCACAGGGGTGACCCACTGTTGACTGCCAGACCCCTGCACAGAAGCCGAGGGCACTGGATGTGGAGAAGGAGGCGCTCTGGATTGTAGAAGCTGTTGCTGTGGAAGCAACTGATATAACTGAGGCTGGGGGTTCAAGACCACACCTCCGGGGGGAATCTGCACTGTGATGGAATTTAAAGTATTATTCACAAGAAACTGCATCGCCATGGGAGTAGGGGGTTGCATTAATCCAACCGGGGCATTGGGCAGCTGGACTCCTAGGGACAGCAGACCACCAGAAGGAGAGACCTGCCCAGGTATGGGGGCGCCAGAGGGACAGACCAGCCCCAACACTGAGCCACTTACCAGAGCTGAAGGTTTCTGTGCCCCCTGGGTGGCTTTTGGGTTGCTTGAGCTGGTGGGGGCCTTGGGGGCCTGGGTGCTTTCTGACGAGCTAGCAGGGCCCTTGGCCGCGTGAGGCCCTTTACTCCTCCTGACGACCCTTGCTCGGGATCTCCCTGCCAGGCTGGCTGGCTTGGGAGCAGGCGCAGCGGTGGGAATGGCAGTGGCAGTGGGGACAGGACTGGGAGCTGGAGGGGGGGTAAGAGTGGGAAGGGAAGCAGCAGTGGAAGAAGGAAGGGGAGGGGTGGGGAGAGCAGGTGTGGGAGGGGGGTCGAGATGGGAAGCCAGAGCCCCGGGCGGACTAGGAGTGGGAGTGGGACTGGAAGAGGGAGTGGTAGGAGTGGGGCTGCGAAGGGACGGAGGATCAGGAGGGGGAGGGGGGGCAGGCCTGGGAGCAAGCCTGGGAGGGCGTGGGGGAGGGGGCGGCGGTGGGGGCGGCGGGGGCGGGGGAACAGGTTTGGGAGCAATCTTGGGAGGGAGCCTGGGAGGAGGTTTGGGAGGAGGCTTGGGAGGAGGTTTGGGAGGAGGAGCTGGACCAGGAGCCAGACGCCTGAGCTTCCGAGAGCTCTTGGCTTGGAGTCCTACACCTCTCGATCCTGAGACGCAGGCAAGATTGATTCTTGTCCCCCAAGGTAATTCTGAGGCGGGAGATGGGACCCACCAGGAGGTAGGCAGTTTGGGCTTCTTCCCTGAAGAGGCCTTGCTGACTACAGCTGAGCCGCCGGACTTGGATTCCATCTTACTGGACAGTGAACATGCAGCATTGCCCTGAACAGACTCCTGGCTTGCACCACCAGCCCGCCCTGCATTGGGCTTGGACCCTGCCATCAACGCATCCAGTGGGTAACTTGAGAAGATGTAAGGGGGACTCATCTGGCTCTCACACCCAACTTCTTGAGCTGCCCACGGGCTGTCAGAAAGAAGTGGGTCATTAAGTGACTGCATGATAAGAAAGTTCATGTCCCTGGCCGGATCACCGGGTTCATATGCCAAGGCAAACTCATCTCCTGCCTCAGGAACGGCCCAGGCGGCTGCCTGTGAGTCACCAAATGGGACAAAGGAACTCCCTTTTGCATATCTTTGCACATCTAGCTCCGAAGGCACATCCACATCACAGGGTCTCTGCTGTTCTGTGTCCCCGGGCTCTACCGCCGCTGCCGCCGCCGCCGCCGCCGCTGCAATCACCAGATCATAAGGGTGGCCACTTCTTTCCGCTTGTTTTTTGCAAACAGTCTTTGCCTCAAACCCAGGGCTCGCTGTGTATTTAGGCAGCTCCCATTGCCAATCCACGCTGTGCCATGGCGACCTCATAAAGCTAGGCCTCACCGACTCATCCCTCCCATCCTGCCTCTGGCACAGCAGTCTTTTGCTAGTGCAGCTTCCAGAGACCGAAGGATCAAGACACAATGGGTCTGCTGTTGCTAAGATCATCTGGCTCTCAAACTCCTGTTTCTCTTCCTGAGTCCAACGATGGCCACCACTTACCATGTACTCCATATCACACATTAAAGTCTTCACCTTTGGTTTCAAGAGAATATGCCGACTTTGATAACCAGATAGTTCCCTACTGCTGCACTGCCTGTAGTCACGGATTTCTGCTAAGACACAGCCATGGTGGAAAAGGTTCACCTCAGAGTTTTCCAAGATATTGAGCAGATATGGCGGTAATTCTTCTGCATCTAAATATTCAAGCAGTTTCTCTCCTGAATAAGGCAGCGCAATGCTCTCTGAAAGGGAGCCATCTTTGTCCAAGATCATTGCAAAACAGCCCTGATCCCCTGGGTTGAGGTCAATCACCAGACAAGGAAAGTCCTCACTCCTGATAAGCTGGTCTAGCAAGCTCTCGCTGCTTCTGAACTCCCTCACCTCAGTCTCCTTTTCACATGCTTCAACATAAATGTCATAGAGTTTTTCCTGTAGAGACTTTTCCTCACTAGTTAAGGGTCTCCTTCTAGGGCTCCTGTGTTGGACTCCGGCATTGACATTGTCTGTATCTTCCAATGCCTGTTCTAAAGATTTCTGCATGGTCACACAAAACTGGGACGCTAAAGGAAAAGAACAGATGGCGTTCAGCGGTGGGGGTGGGGTGGGGTGGGGTGGGGTGGGGAGGGGAGGGGAGGGGTTGAGAATGAAGGAGTTAGGCGGGTAAAGCCACTTACTTATGTGCTCCTGTAAAACTTTACACACAGTGGAACTAGAGCCGTGAGTCACGTGGTTGAGCACCAGCCATGCGCAGAAAACGCTACCCGATGCGCCCAGCCCCTAAGTTCAAGCCCCGGTACCGACACATACGGGAAAATGCCTCCGCGCGTGCGCATGCGCACACACACACACACACACACACACACACACACACACACACACACACACACACACACACACACACATATATACACACACACACACACACACAGAGTGCAAGACCTTGATTTCCTGCCCCAGTACTGGTAAGAGAAAGAAGAAAAGCGAAGTGAGGACCTTTCCAACTCTAAGCCAATGGCCTTGGAACCCGGGCCCCAGCCAACATGGAAAAGTTGAGGATCTCTGAAAACTAACTACCTTTGGCGGCTTCAGTCACATCCTCCTTTGCTATAATCCCCGTATCCTCGTGCTGGTCCCAATGCACTCCGTGCCAGTCCTGGTGCTCTCCGTGCCGATGGACAATGGTAGCGGGTTCCGGTCTACAAATTACCGTTACCACACATGCGCACTTGGTAGGCAGGCGCCAAGACCTTGTGGGTGTAGCCCAACCCTGCATGGTGGGCGGGCGGGGGGGGGGGGCGTGGGGGTTCAGATCTATGTTTTCTGTTTCCTTTTAAAGCTATACAAGGCAGGATCAATCACCACAAATGTAAGAGACGTATTTTGTTTTTTTTTTTTTAATCCGGTGGTTTCCTCGTCCATCAATTTTCAGAGGACTTTCGCTGTCATGGAAGTAGTCATTTATCCCAGTGGGATCTTAAAGAACTGTTGCGTCTGTCATGTCCTGCTTTGCTTGTTCTGTTCATGCTGGGCGCCAATGGCTCCTGCCTATACTCTAGCTACTCAGGAGGCTGAGATCAGAGGATCGTGGTTTGAAGCCAGTCTGGGCAGGAAAGTCTCTAAGACTCCTATCTCCAGTTAACCACCAAAAAGCCAGAAGCGGAGCGGTGGCTCAAGTGGTGGAGTGCTGGCCTTGAGTAAAAGACCTCAGAGATAGTGCCCAGGTCCTGAGTTCAAACCCTAGGACTGGCACAAAAAATAAACTGTAAGTTAAAAAAACAAAGCACGGTGTGGGCCATTTTCCACTCTTACTTGCAGTCCTTGAGCATGGTCCAAATGCTGCAACTCCGCTGACATACTGGGGTGCATCTCCCTAAGATGAAAGCTCTGTCCATCCAGCCCCATCTGATTTGAACTGAACTTTAGTTGTTGCTCTGGCCCTATCTTAGATTTGTTTTTCCTGCTCCACTTCCAGCTTTTTTCTTGGCTAATTGGAGATAACTATCTAATGGACTTTCCTTCCTGAGCTGGCTTCGAACTGTGATTCTCAGATCTTAGTCTTCTGAATAGCTGGGATTACAGGTAAGCCATTGGCACCCTACTGGAAAAACTTTTTAAATCTCTCTCTTTTTGTCGGTTGTGGGGCTTGAACTCTGGGCCTAAGCACTGTCTGAGCTCTTCAGCACCAGCCAAGCACTCTACCATTTGAGCCACAGCACCACTTCCAGTTTTCTGGTGGTTAATTGGAAATAAAAGTCTCAAGGACTTTTCTATCCGGGCTGGCTTTGAACCGTGATACTTAGATCTCAGCCTCCCAAGTAGCTCGGATTACAGGCATGAACCACCTGCACTGGGCTCTCTCTTTTTTAAATTGGTTTGTTTTCTTATCATTGAAGTTTGTGAATTCTTATATACTTTGCTTTAAACACTGTAGAAATTATGTATTTTGCAAATATTTTCTCTAAGTCTATAACTTACTTTTGTATTTATTTTGGTGGTAATAGGGATTGCAGTCAGGACCTTGTTCTTGCTAGCCAGGTGCTCTACTTTTTGAGCCATGCTCCTAGCCCTGTTTTTGTACTTTCTTTTTTTTTATTATTAGTTTTATTTAGGGTCCGGTCGTGGTGCCTGAACTCTGGGCCTGGGCACTGTCCCTCAGCTCTTTTAGCTCAAGGCTAGCGCTCTACCACTTGAGCCACAGCGCCACTTCCAGCTTTTTTCTTTTTGCTTATGTGGTGCTGGGGAATTGAACCCAAGGCCTCATGCATGCAAGGCAAGCACTCTACCACTGAGCCACCTCCCCAGCCCCTGTTTTTGTACTTTCTTAAGTGCCTTTTGAAGAACAGAAATTTCTTAGTTTTCATCAAGTCCAATTTATCAGAGTTTAAAAAAAAATTTCCAGATTGTGTTTGTGCCGAAAAGTCTAAGACATGGTCTGCTCTAAGGTCACCAAGATATTTCTCTATGTTTTCTTCTTATAGTTTTACAACTTTGAACATTTACAGTTATATTTGTGGTCCATTTTGAGTTCATTTTTGTTGTTTGAAATCACATAGTTCTTTTATTTGGTGTAGTAGGGTTGGAACTTAAACCATACTCCTAGTCCTTTTCTTACCTTCATTATTTTTCAAATAGGGGTTTGGGCCACTCTAGTCTGTGATCCTCCTATTTATATATTTCTGCAGTTGGGATAACAGGGGCACATGACACCATGTCCAGCTTTTTATTGGTTGAAATCCGGTGGGGTGGCCCCCACAAACTTTTCTCATAAACTGGCCTGGAACTGTGATTCTTTTCATCTCAGCCTCTTGAGCAATTAGGGTTACAGGCATGATCTTTTTTTCTTTTCTTTTTCTTTCATTGAGACAGAATCTAGCTATGTAGTCCAGGCTGGCCTCAAACTTGTGACCTTCCTGCTTCAGCTTGCTGAGTTCTGGGATCAGAGGTATGCACCACTTTCCCAGTGTATCAATTTTGGTCTTCTTTTGTTTAGATTTTTTTGTCAGTTGTGGGGCTTGACCTCCGGACCTGGGTGCTGTCCCTGAACCTCTTTATGCTCAAGGCCCGTGAGCCACAGCACCACTTCTGGTTTTATTGAGTGATTAATTGGAGATAAGAGTCTCATTAGGGGACTTCTGCCCAGGCTGGCTTCTAACTGCGAACCTCAGATCTCAGCCTCCTGAGTAGCTAGGGTTACAGGCATGAGTCACCGGCTTGTTATTGTTATTGTTGTTGGTTGTGGGGCTTGAACTTAGTTGTTTAGCTTACTAACTGTAGACAGATGCCTGAAGTGGGATGAGAGGAGGCAGGAAATGAGTTAGGAGGAGATTGCAAGTATTCTAACAGAGGTGAGGAACTTTCAGCCCTTAGGCCACATAAGGCAAGAGGTGCATTTTGGTGGTGGGAGGGGGTTTCCCACAAGACACGCTTTACCTTTGTCCTTGAATCAAAATACTGCACAGACTAACCTTAAACAAACAAACAAAAGACAGAACAGCAGCCAGGCCCTGATTTCAAGCCTAGCACCCCCCCCCCCCACAAAAAGCCACATAGAAGTTTTGGGGTTTCTTAACATTTATATGAAAAATTATAGATATTCTAGCAAAGACTTCAGAAATCACAGCTTCTCTTTATTTCTTATTATTTCTAAAGGGAAGCACTTTACTCAGGTGAGGCTTTCAGTTTATTAGAACCTCATTTGATGAAAACCTTAAAACACTTGCAAGAGGAAAATCACTAGCAAATGAGCATACCCCAAATGTATTCATGTCCATGAGACACAATGAGAACAACATTCAGAATTGGATACCAGAAGCAAAACAACATCAGCGTTACTATGGCCTCAATGTCTGCGTGCTCCCACAATTCACGAAGAAATCGTCAATCATCATGTAGAAATCACCCAATGTGATGACTTTAGAAAGCAGGGGATTCAAGAAGTAAAGCCTGGCAACTGGGTGACAGTGGCTAACATCTGTAATTCTAGCTGCTCTGGAGTCTGAGATTAGGAAGATCACCATTTCAGGCCAGCCTTAACAGAAAAGTCTTCAAGATTCTATCTCAACAGAAAGAAGCTGGGCCTGCAAGTATACATCTGTCATCCCAGTTACAACAGGAAGGCTAAAATAGGTGGATTGTGGTTCAAAGGTTTGCTCATGTAGGAGGAGAGACTTTATTTCAAAAATAACCAGTCAAAAAGGGGCTAGAAGCTGGGTGCTGGTGGCTCACGCCTGTAAACCTAGCTACTCAGGAGGCTGAGATCTGAGGATTGAAGTTCAAAGCCAGCCTTGGCAGGAAAGACTCTTATCTCCAATTAACCACCAGAAAACGGAAAGTGGCGCTGTGGCTCAAGTGGTAGAGCACTAGCCTTGAGCTGAATTGCTCAGGGACAGCACCCAGGCCCAGAGATCAAGCCCCATGACCAACAGAAAAAAAAAGGAGCTACACTCATGTCTCAGTGGTAGAGTGTCTGCCCAGCAATTATGAGGCCTAGAATTTAAACCCCAAATAGCCAGGGGAATGTCCTTCCCCTTCCCATATGTGTCATGTGAGGACCTAAGGAAGGCTTATATCTGGGGACAAGGACACCCTCCTCGCTGAATCTGCTGGCACCTGGCTTTTCCAGCCTCTAGAACCATTAGATATTTCTGTTGTTGATAATCTACCTAGTCTGCAGTAATTTGTTATAGTAACCCCCATTTGTCTTAACAAATACCATCTGTGTGTTCCAAGTGATGTCAAAGTGGCATTCCAACCTCTCAAACCTTTCCCAGGTTTCATAGCTCAGGTTCAGAGTTCTCTACAGTCCTCATTACCCGACATATGCAACTATAACCCCTCAGTACATCACCTTTACAATAATGATAATAAATAAATAAAGATTCCATTATGTTCCCTATACCATAATTGGTGAGGTGGGAAAATGGACTCAAGCCACCATTTTGAAAGGTTCCCAAAGAGCCAGGGCTGGAACCAAAAAACCTTTTTCATTATTTACCATAATCTGCTGCCTGAACTAATCAATGCATTGCATGGTTTCACAATAAATACCACATGTAGTTTTGAAAATTGAAATCATGCTTGGCATTCAGAAAAATAAAGTTGTATTTGCACGTAGTTGTGTCTCTGTATGGTAACCTTATATATAAATAGTATATGTTTAAGTATTTAAATGGTAAATATAAATTTGTAAGCTAAATATAGATATGAATGTAAACACATAATGCAAAATACACTTTAATGTAAATATTACTTTAACATTTATTTATTAAAATCATATGTATAGTAAAGCTCACTATTTTACCTCACTCTGAGAAATCCCTGTAGACAAAGTATGTCCTATTTAGTCAGCCTACATCTTGAAAAGAATAAAAATTTAAAATATTTTTAAAAGGAAAAAAAAGTGTGTCATCAGATCCATTTTAATAAGGCTGACTAACGTTACTAAGTATATAACACTGTCTAATACCAAATTACAGTCAAAATAAATTGCTAAGAAAAGATGATAACCCCAACTATAATTTTAGTTTAGTCAGATATAAAAGCTGGATATGACTCCTGGCCTACATTTTTCTGGAAAGATTGTTCATTATCCACTCATCTGGCTCTGAGCCATTGCCACTTTGATAACGATCTGGTCTTTACAAGGCCAAGATAAGGAGGTGTCATCTCCTGTAAGAACAACGCACCTCCGGTGTGACATTTAAACTGAAGCATAACCCAAAGATCACCT